ATATATAATTTTCTCTGCGTGCATGTTGTAAGATTTATTCTTTGTTTTGCTCAATTTTGAGCTAAGAGAATTTACGTAATCTCTCTCCGATGTAACATCGGGCATATATTACAGCGCGAGAGCTGAAGTTGTAAAATATTTGGAGAGTCCAACACAAAGCTTCGCCGGTGTTCTCGCGTCGTGTCGATACCGGTGAAGAGGATTCGTAATTGCCGGCTTCTATTTGCAGATTTTACCTTTTGCTCGGCGGCACAGGGACGCCGCCGTGACAGAACATCATCATTGCCATACCGGGAATAGAACCGGCCTTCTGGTCGATGCACCTTGACAAGAAACAAGTCTGTGCACCGTAATACCGATCATCTCTCTTCTAATAAGCTCAACATTGTTTTTCGAGTCGGGACTTAATCGACGAATTTCTCGATCTGATTAAATGTTCCTCCTCGAATGAACTCTAGGCAACTGTGTCGCAGAGATTCCTGGATGTGACATCGAAGATCCTTTGCTCCTGCCTATCTTTGTGAAACCTATACTCTTTATTCTATCGCGTTATCGAATCTTTTTTATCGCCATCCTCTTTTTCGCAAATCTCGTAATTACGATCTTATAATCGTTGATCGATATGAATAAAAAAATAATGCTCTCATCTTTATTAGCAATTCATTTTTATATTACGTGTTCCATTTTTTAAATGATTTTTATATGATGTATTGATTTTTCAGAAACTAATATGGTTTTATTTTCAAATTCTAAAGAATATAATTTAAAAAAGGCAAATATATCCGAAATAATTATGGCATAAAAGATTATACGGGTACTAATTCTTGCAGACAAATCCTTAATTATTCTCGCTCATGTGCGAGGGATTAGCACATAATTACAAATACGATACATGGCATAAATCTATCTTGGAGCTTCCTCTTCGTTTCGTGACATCCGCTCGACGCATCTTCGACGCATGATGCGTGATGCGTGAACGCTAATGTTGCGTCGCGAATGGAGGAAGTCACTTTATTATCCATTTCGATAAAAATTTTATTAGTATTTTGACCGTATGCATTTTTTACGGCACAAACGCTTGAAATTAATTTCGCGAAATTTTAACTAGTCTAGATATATTAATCAATTGTGACTATCGAATAAATAAAACTTATAAATAATAAGCAAGAAATAGTCTTTGGGAAAATAATAAGAAAATTAGAAAAATAGTAAGAAAGAATATGCAAGAAAAAAACAACTTTTTTTCAATCGCATTCGCACGCAAATACTTGATCAATCTTTTCCATATTAACGTTTTTCTGTACTTGGTATACAAGATGATCCGAAAAGATATTTTTTGTTCTTATGGGTAACATACGCGATAACATTTTTCCCACGACAAGAAAAACACGTTTATACACTTGCTAACGGAGAGAATCTTTTCGATCTGCAAGTTCTTATTTTCTCGACCTTTCCCGTGGTGCTTTTTAATTACCGTAATAATCGCAACGGTCATTTTCCGTGAGACAGAAAGATTCTCACGAGAAACTCCGTGGATAGTTCTATTCGAAATGTTTTCGCGATGAAACGCTCTAAAACACTTCTTATATGTTAAGAGATTGCAAAAATATATCGAAAAGAGAGAAATAATCGCATCTGAAATAAGCGATTTGAATACTCGAGGCATATAAAAATAAGATTCATACATTTTCTAAATTTTTTGTTAATACATATTATTTTTAGACAAAAGTGTATATACGAAAAGTGCGATCATGTAGAAGATAAAAGCAAATAGCGAAGAATATATGGTGCTAATGAACGTACTCGCGGCGCGATCGAGTCGGACAGAAACTTGAATTTGCTCAACAATTAGCCGTTCGAGCGGCTATATTTAGCATATAACATATGTATAAAGATATATCTACATATCGCGTATACATATATCGTTCTGTTCTTTGATTTCGCACACGAGTGGAACCATGTGGATGGAGATACACAAGAAAGTAAAATATTATAATTTATTTCGCTTCGTACGTAGAATCTGTCATCCACAGCACGTGGCAGGAAGTACAATTTTACGAAATTACATCTCGGTGACTGTAACTCAATCCTCACGTCTTAATCCTGAAGGAAGTGTACCACGAACCGCTCGTTAACGCTCATTTGCGCACGTCTGTATATTGAGAAACATAATATACCTCGAAACGTCACAGATAAATTATACAAAAGTCTTCGAATATAGACCGCCGAATAATTCAAGTGTCAAAAAAAGTACAATAATTAAGAAGTAATTAAGACACGGTCGTTTTAATTTCTCGTTGCGCTTTGGTTCGTTGCTCCCGCTCGTACGTCGCGTCTTCAAGGTACTCTTTCACCTCCTCGCGGACGTTGAAGGTTGCCTAGACGGCGGCGCCGACGAGGCGGACGATTCGGCTGATCTATGCACGAGACGACGGCGTCAAAAGCCGCACGTTACTGTGTACGATCTCGTAGTGATCATTCCGTACCGTTATTCTCTCGGTCAAGGTTCCCTCGCCGAGATCGAATTGAAATATCCCGTTCGCCGCGCGATCGGATCCGCGCACGTGGTCCAACGACCTGACAAGCGTCAGGTGGGTCTCCTCTCCTCTCGTTCGCTTGTAAACAACGATGTGAAAAACTACGCGGCGTAATATCGAGGCTAATTAGCGATTAGTGTGCGCATATTTTACCGAGGAACCGGATCGGAGATGAATCTATATGGAAATTAATAAAATTCGAACAGTGGAGCCTCTCGCAGAATAATTCTTTACCGAAAGACATTTATTAATTCTCGAAGAGCTACGCGTTGCGTTGACAAGAAAGGACGTGGTTTCCCGTAGCATCTCCTTTTGGAATGTCCGAGTCATTGGCATCAAATTCCGAAAAGTCGCCTTTTGCGATCTGCATTTATATACAAATGAGGACAATCTGTATTCACGCGGAATAATCTAAGCCACTATTTTATAAACGGAACAGATTCTGAAAAGCATTTGGGAATTGTCCTCTTCCTCACTTGTCCGCGAGGATTGCGTAAAACGAGATACGTACCAAATAATCACGCGAACACGTCTTACATCGTTCGAAAGCCATTCCTCTGTCAAAGCGGACACGCGCGGTATGTTTTGCCACATATTGTCGCGGTAACAACTCGACGACGACAAAGAAAATATTCTCCAAGTGAATCCCGTTTTGCACGTTCGACGCGCGTCAAGTACAAAGCTGCGCGAAGAAATCCGCGCTCGCGCGAGGCGGCATGTGCGAGGTCGTGCGAGGTCGTACCACACGGTGGAGGGACATGTGAACGAGCGGATAGGATAGGTTGAGGGTCGTGAGTGGCCGTTGACCCTGCCTGTGCATGTACCTGTGTGGTATGCCGGCCGTACGAAGCAGCGCGACTAGACAGGCCGGAATCCACACATCGGTAATAGCTTCTCTCTAGTCTCTTACCTCTCTCTCGTAAAAGTGGATATTTATGGTTCCCCCGCCTCTCTGCGACCGCGACGAAAAGAAAAAAGGAGTTCTTCCGCAAACCTTGTGGTTCTCCGAGCGCGGGTGTGCCTGTGTGTGTGCACAACCGCTAATTAATGACTAAATCGCGATGCCACGAGGAGAAAAATTCATATCGATTATATTTATTTCAACATATTTCTACATCGAATGAAAATAAAAAAGCCGTATCGTGAATTTTAATTTGTGTTATGAATTGCTTACAGCAACTAAAATAGTTAATACGATATTATAAAATAATAACGTCATAAATAATTAAAATATAGCACAAATAATAAGAATAAAATAATTTTTTAAATAAGGCCAATAATGATAAAATTATCGTTTTTGAAAGAATCAATATTATGGACTGGTCGAAAGCCAATTACAAATGTTATAATTTTGTTGCAGTATCCGTCCACATTATCGTCCGAGTGTTTACCTGACCAAGATGATCTGAATTGCGCGAATGTACCGGGGACTTTACCAGCGAATGCAGATATTTCACCAGCAGCGAGGGATCTTCTGAAACGGCTCTTACAACCGGAGCCTCGTTTAAGGCTCCGAAATCTCCTCAGCCTTCAAAGGATCGCTTTTTACATGGGTTACGATATTCAAAGTTATATGTTGAAAAAGGTAATTAATAATGACACATAATAATCTTGCTTTTGCAGTCATTAAGGCAGAATAACAATATTTAAATAACTTATCGTATATAGAAAGTTTTCAACGTTTACTCAACATAATTCTTTTGGTCTCTTTGAGAGTATAAAAAAATTCTAGAAACTTTCCATCATATAGTATATAACAGATTAAATTATTCGAATGTTCAAACTATTATTTTAAACACATAAAAGATATTAGGTGTATATTTTATTTCGATAGAAGATTAAATCAAGAGTTTTTATCAACTTTTTGTTAATTATAAATTCGTATAGGAACTAATAATTAAAATGATTTGCCATCTCTTGTTACATATAGGAATCGCCATTCCGGATTCTAGGAGTGAATAACCGACGAGAAACACGGCAAAAAAAAGTGGATTCTTTTGATCACGAATTTCCAAATTTTGAGTCGTTTCCAGGTGGTAACGCTACGAGGACGAGTCAATGATCTCATAATGATATATATCTTTCTCTATCTGATTATATGTATATCTTTTATAAAAAATATTTTTTCTCGTGCGTATTATATATATACATTTTTCAAAGCGCACGCACGTGTGTGTATACGCTTTGAAATGTATAAAGCACACGTAACAAAGTTATTTTCGATAAAATTTGCATCAGAATAATTTTTTATATAAATATTGATTGAATATTTGGAGCGATGTATTCGTCGAATCTTATAATCTATTTAATGAATCTCAAATAGAGAATTTCAGATTAAGCGACTTAAAAAAAATACATTTTCTTTTAGTACATTACTCAGGTATAACAATATGTGATAACATTAATAGTATATTGAACAAAAACATCTTGATTTTTATTTTATTTCAGCGATTGTTTTGCTCTAAAAAATTTCTTAATCTATCCTTTTTCCCAAATGAAAAAGATCCCTTATTATTAACCAATTATAACTTTTCTACAATTTTAACTAGAGAGCTACTTAATTCAAATAGAAATGTCATTGATAATTTAATTTACCGATCAAAAATTTATTTTAATTTATTATTTTTCTTCACGAGTGTGTAAGTTTAATGTAGCAGCTCGTATCGGAAGGATCAGGTTCAAATACCTAAAAAGGAAGCGTCAAGTAAGTAAACTCTTTGCCGACCCCACGGATGATATCAGTTTACAAAAGTTTTAATTTTTTTAAGAATAGTTAACAGTATTTTTTGTTTGTTACAGTATCTCGTCGATAATACAATTAAATTGCGATAATCGTAGTGCGTACAAACTAACAACGAAACAAAAATGGATTAGAACGCAGCGTCTTCCGAAATGAATGCGAGAACAATGTGCTTTTTCTCTCTCTATCTCTTTTCTTTTAATACGTATCCGCGCGTATAAATTTTTTTTCTTCGTTTCTTTCTCCATTTTTCCATCCAATTTTCGATGCGCCTCGATTTTTTCATTGGATCAAGGGGCAGCTGTTCTCTCGAGAGTGCAATTAATTCAAATTTACCGTGTGTAATATATATATATATATAATCATATATACATTATTATTCTTACATATAGAGGATCTTTCGGTTTCGATATATAATACAATTTTCCCAAATTATGTCCCGTGCAACGCGTCAGCAATCCATCACTGTCCGAATGTTCTGAATCGAACAACGTTAAGGGGAAATGTCGACGGACAAACTCAATAAAAAGAGAAACACGCTTTGTGCGCGCGCAAATTAACGTTTCTTAAGAACAATGCATGCATAAGTTAAATCGTGCGGGGGGAGGGGGGGGGGGGAAACGCGAGGCGTGAATAGTTACGTCGCTAAACACGAGGAAATTATTCAGGCGCTTCCGCGTATTATTCCTCAAAGAGAATGCTTGTTCTAAGTAACGTCTCAATGATCTAATATCTTATGATGATTTCCGCATGCAGACGAAACGCGCGATAAAGAGGTAGGGAGATTATTTCATCCTGCGTAAAGGCGGGACCGACAATTTGTCCATCGCACCTCCCAGGAAACGCGATCTCGATGATCGTACGATCGACGGAACAAACGGAGGATAAGATTTACAGGATCACACGGAACGGCAAAATGATCTTTGCGAATGATCGCGTTAAAGCGATCGCTTCCCGCACCACATCGCTGCTTATCAACAATCGCTCCTTCTTATCAAAAGATCGTGGGAAAGGGGGAAAGGAGATTTTCGCTCGTGAAACAGAACGAAATTACATCTAATTATAACTGCTTCCACCCCCATCATCTGGCGTGGAGTCATTTTGGTAAAAATCTCTAGGCTGCTTGCCCTTGCGCTGGATACTCGGGCCGACCGATCTGTTCCTCTCGCGCGGACGATTCCTCCCGTTCACGACGTTTACGTCTACCCTTAAGCAAATCGAAATCCGGAGGATTCGCGCGACGAGTATCCCGCGTGAAAGCGCCCTAAGCCTATTTTCGTGATCGCGAACCTCTGGGGTTCCTCAATATCGCGGAAAACCCCCCTGGAGAACCGTCGGTTCGCGTCACTGCTCTCCATGATACATATACATACACACATTTTCTCTCTCTTTTTCATGCATTTTTCTCCTCTCACGTTCACCCTTAAATTACTATTATTTCTTCTTGTTACAATGCTTCGCTATCGTAAGATAATATAATACAAGTAGAATTGTCCGTCTGTGTATGTGTTCAGTGATTACGACAAACTCACTTCCGTTACTTATTTTTACAGCTCGACACTATTACGGATATCGCGCAGGACTTCCGCTATTCTGCAAATCGCGAAACAACTTCATAGCCACGTTTCTCGGGGAAACGTTCGTTGAAAATTTGTATGAATCATTTAAAGGATTCAGCCGATTGATCTCTTCATATTTGTGATTCGCTTGCAGAATAAACGTCGCTAATGCGCGACACAAAAGGGGAACGGCTCGGACGCGCGTCGTCGAGTAGGATGCGAACGAGAGAGAGAGAGAGAGAGAGAGAGAGAGAGTACGCTAAGCAGGGACGATAATATCATTACATTCAGATGATAGACGACGATATATGAAGTAACTACGGGGTCGATGGTTCGTGACGCGCGTCAGTGCCGTTCCGCGTCGTCGATCGTCTCGTCGTATAATTGTTCGACAATGCAACTGCAACGGAGACTCAAATTTCGTAATTTCATCCCCTTTATCTTCATCATGACGCGCGGCCATCCAGAGAATGTCCAACAATTGTTTTCAGTTTTGTACACAAAATACCAACTATCTATCTGTGCTGGAAAATGCACATACTGCTTGTACACGTCATATATATATATATTTATATATATATTTATATGTATAATATTTATATATGGTGTATTGTATATCGCGTAGCGTGTAGCAGAGTGGGTTCTTTTTTTTACTATATATTTATATATATTATTAATATGTACACAAAATTATTCATTATTAGATGTATGTTTCGCGTGCTTTTACTTTTTTTCTTGCCTTGGTTTTATGCTCAGAGAGTGGACGCTTCGAACGGATGTGGAGATATCAAATTACGCTCGAGAACGTCTCTTTACGGATCAAAACATTGCCCTATTTGAAAATAGCCAATTTAATTTCAAATTAAAATTTCCATTAAATAAAATACAATTTAAAAATTAAATTAAAAGACAATGATTTTGTTATTTATTCACGCTCACGAAAGTTTAATAAGAGCGCTTAATCTCTCCGCCGTTATAAATACCTTTATCGCTATTTTTTAATAATACTTCGATATTAAAACAATTGGCATTTTTGTAATTTAATCCCTACTATATGTATATATGATTCAAGTAGTATCTGCTATATTAAAATGTACGCAGAAAGTATATATGACACACGTGCCTGCAAAAATACGTTCTCGAACGTAGCACAAGGAAAAAAAGAACTATTGGCAGAGACGTTTCATTCAAATTTCGACCACTCTCTTCCTAAAATATTTGTTCGTAATCTCTCATCGCGCATTACTCACACACATACAATCACGCACGGGTATGCACTCATACCGGCCCAGACAATCCGGAAATGGATATATTTGTTCGACTACATGGTAGCCACAGCGCTCGACCAATGGAACGAGAGAGACACTTTAATCTCCCTGCTTATTATTTTATGACGTTCCTTATGACGTACTTCTTCGTGGTATTTCCCGAAGGTAGAGGTGTCTTGTCCTTTTTACCTTCGACGACCTCGAAGTTGACGAATTAATATCGAACAGCTGAGTTCACCGACGGGTTAAGAGAAAGATCGACACGTTACACACCGATCCTCTCACCCCATTGGACGATCGTTAAAAACTAGGATCTCTAAACGAGGAGAGGAAAGTAGAATCTCGATCACGATTTTTTTTTTACTCACCGCTGCTATAGATTTGCGCGTTGCGCAAGATCATAGCTCATAATTTTTTCTCTCATTTCGTTCGCCATTCTCCAAAATAAGGAGGGATGATCGACGACGAATCTCTGCGTCAATAGTGACGTGAGCAGGAGGGTCGGTTTTATATAAACCTGGAGAAAGATAAGCGGGGGAGGAGATGCAAGAAGCTTCCAGAGATAAGCGTGCAAGACATCGCGCAACATCGAGGCACGTGTCTTCTCTCGTTACCCTTTTTTCTTTTCTTTTTTTTTCTATCATTTGACTTCGTTTTTTCGATCAGCTGCGAATCTAAATATTTTTTCCTCGTTCTTCCCTCGGATGAGAATAATGGGCCGAACGAGTTCAGATACTACGAGCCGGTCATCGCCGACATCAATTAACGCTAATTTTTTGCCTAATTCAATTTTTCTTTTTTGTCTGTATTATAGACAGTACTATATAGGACTATGGATTCACCCAGCAAATTGCTTTTACAAAGAGCAGACTAATTATTGTTGATGTTCCGGGTTCTGCGAGTATATATTAATAATAAACTTCTATGAAAGAGATTCAAGATTTTGATATATTTTTCCTTTATTACTACAGACCAATAATGCATTTTTCGAGATGCGTAGCAAACACGTATCGTAGTTATCAAAGATATGTTTAATGATTTATTTTTGCTAAATCATTGTGAAAGTACTACATTCGTACTCGACGAATACGGAACAACAACTAACACGCGTATTTTTGCTCTTAAGAAATTTATTAACATCGCTGCAATTAAAACGCGCGCGCACGCACGCGCGATCGAAATTAACGAGGACCATAGAGCGCGTCCTTATAGCGAGATTATCGAGAGATGTAACAATGATGATAATAATAATAATCGCTAATATACACGTTATATATACTCCTATACAAAGTTACATTGCACAATGCATCTCTGATTTTCCGCGAACGGAGTATATCTAATCTTTTTTCTTTAGATAATCGTAAGCGCTTGCTGTTCAAGGCAGCTCCACGAGAGAGTGATACCTGGCAGTAAAGGAAAACAGTTATTGTGTCGATCGAGCAGTCGACCGATTGTCGTAGACACCGAATGGCTGTTTTCATTCCTCGCGCGACGCGAATAAAGAGCCCAACAAACTATGCACGCAATTGTGTTAGTATGTCATAAGCAATGAATACTCTGCCCGCGGATCGCGCCAAAATTGTGAGAACATGGAATTATCGTAAATCACATTTTCGGTCATCAGCCGAATATATTCTTAATCATTAAAAACGAGAGTTATATCGAAAAATTATTTTGCGGAAACTCTTTTTTTTCTTTGCCTTTTATATATTCGTCAACGTATAAAAATATTAATACTAAAACATTTTTTTTTCAACTAAACCCAACTCACAACGACGTTAGTTACGAGATATCGCTTATAATGTGATGTATCTCCTCTTCTTGAATATTCGTTTTTTATAGAATTCGAGTATTTTTTTTAGTGATATCAACAAGGCGTATCACATATCTACGCGTTACGATGGCTCGAAACTTGAAACGATTTACATTTACAATGATGCCAGGTGACACTGATGAGCTAGCTTGATTGCAAAATGGTGTTTGACACATTTAAGGGTATGTTCACACACGCGAGCTCGCGATGTTCATGGAATTATGCCAAAGTCTCACGCTTAATCTTAATCTTATAAGCGTGACTAATCTACACATTTTCACGCATCGATACATGCGTGTGACGTACGTTCCGGTTGCGTATCATCTTTTTATCGCTAAAACATATTTGTGACAGACGTAATCTCGCGTTTTCACATGTCTGTCTCACGTGATTTTTAAATTTACACACAACAAAGAGAAAAAACAATTTATAAAATTCATAACATGAAACGTCAATTATGAATGAGACACGATATACCATCAGAAATGACTTCTGATCTTATTCAGTGAAACGCGAACACACACTCCCACGTTTCTATAAAAAGTCTTATTTATATTCTGTACAGCATTTTGATTTTCACAGCGGCAAGCTTTCGAGAGTAGATCTGAAGATAAATGTTAGTTTTTTAAGCTTCAACGAATACGGAAGAAGATACGCGCAGTATATCTATTTCAGAATTCATCGCGCAAAATTTCAAGAATATTTCGAAGATATTGAGAATATATAATGAGAGATGCCTCTCGGCGCATGCACTACAACGACATCGTTGTTCGAGTTGGCGCAACAGACATAAAAGGATTAGATAGGTATCGGAAAACGCGAAGAGCTGTTTGCGCGGCTAAACACGAGTGTGAACGACCCTTAAGAAAAGAAATCGGCGAGCGACCCGCCGAGTCCTCTTCGGCGAAGACGGCGAGTCACCCTATCACAATCTTCGTCGACGTCGTGGTGGCGCTCGCCGCTGACGTGTGTAAATGACGATGACGGAGGAAGTGCCGATGAATGATGTACGGCGACAACGACGAATGGCGACACGACGCAGCAACGTCAAAGAAATCACCGTCACCAATCGGACGAGTATCGCGCACTCCACACTTCCGTTAAATTCGGAAAGAAGAGCAACGATACTTTTTTCTTATCCAGCCTCAACACGAGACCACCACACTGCACCTTCACGTATACCCGCACCACACTGTAGCACCTCAACACATTGCAATTGTCATGGCCTATGGAACCTGCAAAATCAAAAGAAGGATACGCATTAAAAACATATTAATCGAATTATGAAATATCAATAATGTCTCAATGATATCGATTATTACCAAAATTTTGATAAGCTAAGCTTCCATGGTTTAATCTTTAGTTAAGTTCAAAGAGCTTGTATTTATTCATCAAATTTTATCGAGTCGACAGTGTCCAGTAATACAAGACGATTTCTTTATACTGAACACATTCAGCAAAGTTATTTTAATAAAATGCTGATTCGGTGCAAACTGTGCTTTCAAAGTAGCTTCGCTAGAAATTCGTAAAACATCAAGTACCTAGTGAGGTGTCGGCTGTCCTCGTGAACGGCCATCTCCGAACTCTTGAACTCGTTCAATTCCTTCCTAATGGCAGCCTTGTCCTTCGGAGTTAACCGCGTCCAGGGCTTGTCGGCTCTTCTATCGTAATCGTGAGCCTGCGTTACCTCGATATAATCGTTGAACCTAATAATCTGCAGAAAGAACGAAAAAGATATAAGTATATAGCTTTTCGTTTTTATAGTGCTTTATCGTAATCCTTTAACCCCTTATCAGAAAATAGCGCCGTAAAATAAGATACGATAAAATATCGATTTGATTCAAATTCAGCTATATCTTTTGCAATCGATATACGTGTAATCAGTCTGTGTATCGTGAAATATTAAAGAGTGTAGCGCAACAAAAATTCGTAAAGATTTACAAAGAACTTTTTTTTACGCTTAATTACCTTTTTCTCCTTGAGTTCTTCGACGGTTGGTCGGAAACTCAGTTTGCGCAGGAGATATCGTTTCTTCTCCTCCTTCTGCTTCTTTTCCTCGGCAGGACTTTGCTCTGAAAACGAACGTTGCAACTCGAAATTTAATTCCATTCGATTTCACGAAGTAAATACACATTTAATTTCAATCTTCGTGGAAAGTAGATTGTTATATCAAGTTAAAACGTACATAATTCTTGAATTCTAAGAGATTAGCCATTTTTTTTTTTAATTTAGCATTTAAATTGATCTCAAAAAAACCTTCACGTTGCTCGCAATTAAAGAGAGAAAACTAATCAAGTAAACTTACTTTTCAAAATATTCCTCTCCTCGAGTTCCTCCTGAGTCGGCCGCATGCTCAGCCGCCTGAAATGAGAATGGCACGTGAATCAGTGTAAGTTCATCGGCCACTTTAATCTTCTTTCGAGAGAGGAAAAGAGAGGAGATTCGCGCGGGAGGAAACGGGGCATCCACTTTGTGCAAACAATGTGATTCACCGCAGCCGACACCACTCGTCCCATTATCCGCGCGTAATCTTTTCGAGAGACAGCTGTTATTTCAAGCTCGTTTTCAGGCGAGCCTGATCAATCGTGACAGACGGATGTCGATAAAAAAGGGGAGGAAATCGATTTCCGAAATAATACGCCCGCAATTCCGTTATTATCGAAAAATAACTTTAAACGTAACTTTAATAATTGACGAATCCGGAACGAATACAAATATTTATTTATTTATTATTTATTAATAATATTTATTTATTTTACAAGAAGGCAAAAAGATAACAAAGCCTCTCATTTTAATGTCGATTTTGAGCTGACTTCTACGGAGACTTCATCTCGTATCATATCTCATATTGGAATGAAAATCTCGCGAACGTGATTATATAGGCATTACGTGATAGATGACCGGACAATTTTCTCACCTGATGAGCTTGGCACCAATCGCCTCTTTCGTTTCCTGCCTTTCATTATCCGTTTGCAATTGAAGGATGTTTCTATTGATGAGTTCTTGTCTATCTGGCCTAAGAGCGAGTTTCAGCGAAAGCGATTCCTTGCGCGCAATCTTGGCTGCCAAACGGCCTGTCAAAACAGAAGATATCGAATTTTAGTCTTCAATTCATTGATCCTCCATTCTGTTCATTACAATAGAGAATCGAAGATCGTAAATAAAATAAAATACATTTAAAGAGAATAATAGAATCATCAGATGTAATTAAAATGTAAGAGAGTCGGAATGAATTTCGCACAGACGTTTATTAAATTGCGCATCGGTGTTAATTAATCTTGCATCCAATCGCACGTCACGATCGCTAATTACCCTCCAAGATCGACGAGCAGCTGAAGCTGCGATACAACAACGGGGCGTGTTCGATCGGCTCGACCGAGGCGCAGACGATCGACACCGTCGACGCGGTCCATATCGACAGCATCGTGTCATCACTCTATCTCTCTCTCTCCCTCCTTCTCCTTCTCGATACGGAAAGCGTCCGAAACGTGTTCCAAGCGTAATCGAAATCGGGATTCCGGCAATATTAATTACCGTTCGTTTTCGCACTGACCCGGATCGCGGCGATCACTACGCGTTTCGGAAATTGCCGAGCTCTCTCTCCAATCGCGTGCTTTCTCGTGAAATATTAATTTTAAAGTAAATATATGAATTTTGAGGGATCAGCTTGGATTTAAGAGAGTAACTTTACGATCGTCCACTTCTACGCGGTTCGATAATAATTTAGCGAGCGGAAAGCTCCGCGAGATAAATCCAGATTAAAGAACGACTAGGAACACACTGAGCAACTTGCCAGCTATCTTCGGGGATTAATATAAACCTCTCAAATGTCTGCTACACACATATACATACGTACGACCTGGCGCGAATATAATTAGTCCGGTCGTTGAAGGCTGATTTAAAATGTTGGGCAATTTGCGTGAATTTCCCGCGAGACATTTAATCCGCGATAAAGCGCTCAACAACAGATTATTTTCTCGTATATTAGGTCATTTATGTAAATTATGTCATATGAATAAAATGCGCGTTACCTAAGTGTCTTGTGTGCTGTTGTTTACAACTCTATTTTAAAATATATAAAAGTGAATGTATTTCTGAAAAGAATATAATTTATAAATTTATATAATTTAT